CCCAAAAAAAAAAAACCAAAAAAAAAACTGATTAAAATAAACAAACAAAAAAGAAACACATAAAAAAAAACCAAACAGGCGCGCACAATATAATAATACGATTATCACTCGGTATCCAGCGTAACCGCTCGTTATAGTTTGTGAGGCAGCGTGGTGGAATCAGGCTCACGTCAAAATAATCAAAATGAAGAAACTTGCATTTTTCCGCAGGTTTGTGAATGTTTATCAAATTTTTGTTTTTTGGCTCAACACCTTTCATGCCCATAAAAGGACTAATTTCTGAGTGGATTTTTTCTGAAAAATGTTGATTAAAGGCACAAAAAATGTAAATTATCTGTTACCACGGACTCTTAAGCTAAGGAAAATGACTATCCCTTGGCGGCCATTTTCTCACTAATTTTACTTCTGAAAGCAGGTAACCCCACCTTCTTCATTAGCAAATATCTCGACTTGTATTCTCGACAAATATATATTTTTTTCACCCCTCCCCCCCAAAAAAAAGACTAGGGAACAAGCTTTAAGATGATACCAATAACTCTACATGCTCAAAAATTGACGAGAGCCTGATTCCACCACGCTGCCTCACATTTTTCTATTGGCTGCGCTACAGTTGGCAGAACAACGCCGCTAACTCAGTTGGTTTTTTTAATACTTTACAATGATACATACCATGACCGAGCTAGGTTGAAATTGCTAATGAGTTTACCAGCGTCTGTGGTGTTGTGGTTGGGTGCTCGCTCTGATGATAAGCTGGAGCCAAGCCGCTACCCAAGAATTACAAAGTTCTATCTGCTCAGTACCTGGTTTTGAGAATTTATGTGACGTCAAAATTTTGAGTTTCACATGTCAAACTTTTTCAAAAGCAATTTGTTTAATATCTTGATAACGAAATCTGAATAATCTTACGATCTTGATAAACCAGATGCAACATTTATTTTGGTTTCTGACTTCATGGTCTTAGTAACGGAAAACTGAGAAAAAAAAAATCAAATCAGATAGAAAGTTCTAAGGTTCTAAGGCAGCGAAGAGGTCGGAAAGCACCAAAATAACTCCAAGAATGACAATATTTCAAGAATTCCTTATCAGGGACTCGAACTACGGCCATTCACACCATAGTCAAGCATTATAACAACTGCTCTCGGAGCTAAATGATGCTAATTGATGCTAAAAAGTTTTCCTAGCCTATAGCACCCCACCCCTTCCCCCAAGCGTGTCTGCAAACAAGGTTGGCTCTCAATGATGATATAGGAAAGCTTATTAAGTTATTCAAATATTATTCTTGGTAATCAAAATATCGACTGCTAAAAAGCTCCAATTTTTTAGCAGTTTTTCCTTACTCCCTTGATTCTTCCTTGATGTATGTATCTCTTGAGAGATTTTTTAAAAAGCCAGTTGCCAATTTCTGGTGTTTGTTGATTAAACTTGCGTCCGTTATCTTGGCACTTTCTCGTTTATGACTTTTAAAATTTAAAATTAAATATTTTTTTTTGCTTCTGAAAGATTCTAACCCTCTACTCATTCACCCTTATGTGAAATGTGTAACTCTCATGGAATTGACGATGAATTTCACTTTATTTTCTATTGTCTAAATTTCGTCCATCAAAGAAAAATGTTAATTCTTCCCAGCCTGACTTGGCCCAGTGACAGAAATATGAAAAGTTTGACCCATGATATGAGGTATGTGCACAACCTGTACTTTTTCATTACGGAAACTCTATTTAACAATGAATATTTTATATGTGTGATGTGCGCTTATGGCCTTAAACACTGAATTAACTTACTTACTTACTAACCCTCTACTCGACGCAAATAAGTTATTAAAAAAACCAAAACGGTTTCGTGGTGGTGTTTCCAGTACAAATGTGGGGATGGTACAGGATACAATATCGCCCTCATGTGAGAGACTCGAACCTTCGTCTTCCGTGTGCAAAGCGAGAAGCCTTCTACGCAGTGCCCACTACGGAC